AGGTGTTTGTTACCGGCCATGGTGAAGGATGATGTGTAGAGCTGAGTGTACTTTGGTTCAGACCTGCTGAATCTGTTCCAGTCCAGAGCACATAAAAAGGAAAGTGAAAACCATATAATACCCCAACTAACTAGGGTGAACACAAGATACCAGCTGGCTGTGGAGCATGGTTGTTTAGAGAAATTCTGAACTGTCTGCCTAGGCTGGATATGACAGGCTGGAAAACGTTGTATAATAATAATAATAATAATAATAATAATAATAATCACTTAATCACATAATCATTTTGGTGTTTTAGCCAAAAAAAATGTTGATGTCTGGAGAAGAAACTTTAGCATCTTGCACTCCATCAGTGCAGAGATCCCTGGGACAGCCATCTCAGAGCTGGCACCAAAGTGTATCCAAGTCCACACTCAAAACACCCTGCATCTCCCCACCCTTGGGTCAGCGTTAGCCATCCTGGTTTGCAAGGCCAAGTTCATATTCCTTGGGGTGGGCACAATTTCATAGTGAAATAGTGAAATGTGGGAAAGCTGTGTCTTTACTCCTAAGCAGAATTAGAGAAAATGCAGGATGCTAAATAAGGAAACAAAAAACCACTATGTAGCCTTCACTTTCTCCGAGCTGGTTTGCCCTGGTAAAGATAGAAGCTTGGAAAATATTTTCAGGCATTCACACAGTTAAATTTTGGAAATGACAAATGTGAACTCCAAATTCCAAACCATTCATGCTTGTTTTTCAGTGTATTTCAGAACCACAGAACATGCAGCTCAGTGTCTAAAATGACCCAAACCTCATCTGTAGACACACACCCATTCCAGCCATCATGCTCATTTCTCTGTGTTTTGTAGCTGTACTTGGACACTAGTTGGTTGCTAAAATAATAATTGGCATAAATCTTTTTTCTGAAGTATTAAAATTGGTGCAATTGGAATTGTTTTGAAAATATGTTTATAATAAGACTTTCTGTGCTTTTCACCTTGTTGAGAGTATTTTTCCTGTCTGTTTTAGAGGAGCAACCTTTCTTTTCTTTACCCTTTTCCAGCTGCTGCTTTGCTTTGTACATCTTTTACCCTCAGTGCTTATTAACCTCTAACCCTGCCCTGCATTGCATCTGTCTGTTCTCCCAGATCCCGAGTGTAAGGACAGAGAAGTTACCCGTCGCTTTTCCCTAGCCTCCTCCATCAGCACCACAGTAAATGCTTCTGCTGTGACCAAAGGTACTGTCATGCTGCTTGCCTAGGTCCCCTCTCCCTCCCTGCTGCCTGGCACATTCACTGCCAAATGCTGCTCCCAGAGGGAGTATCTCAGACTCAGTTTTAGTAAAGGCAGGAGGTTCCAGCAGAAGAAGAGTCAGCACCGGTGTAACACCTGCAGGAGACAGACCAGGACATTTTGAACGTGTATTGAGGAGTGCTGCCAGCACACAGAGTGACTCTTCCCAGTTTCTCCAGAGTAGGCTTCAAAAAGTGTTGCTGGTGTCCATGGAAATTGGATTAATTTTTCGCTGATGTGGGGTTCGGTTTCCAGCTTCTCCCTGGTTTGGATTAACTGATGTTCACTTGGAATTATTTGCCTGTTTCCTTATAGCTCTTTAGGATTTTTTTTTTCAAGGAGGAGAGAATCTCCTCATTGCATGGTAGATATCAGCTATCAAGGAAGCCTGAAATCAAGCCAAAACAGAGGAGCAATAGATGCCAGTTTTAATAATGTTTAGCAATATCACTGTTACAATTAGAAATTATGTTTGCAGTGAGATTTTCCTATGTGTAAGGGAGCTGGGTGATGAATGCACTGAACTCCATGCAGTTTGTGTGCTTATGGAAGCTTTATTTATGTGCTTTATTTAGCTTTAGAAAAGGCACTTTTACAAAATATAAGTTACTGTACTAGAGCCTAGATTTAAACTCAAAAGCAACCCATGCATTTAGGCAAGTTGATTGTGTTGAAAATCAGTAGCATTGTGGGCACATATGTCTACATGGCAGGGATAATTTTGACAACAGCACATACAGTCTTACACAGAATTCTGAATATACTGCCTTTTGGCAGTTCTTGGAATGGAATGAAGGAACTGATTTGCAAGGTTAAGATTTTCAGGGTAATTCACAAATCAAAATACAAGGAAAAATGGCAGAATTAACTTGTATAAAAATTTTTGCTCTAGACTTCTCAGAAAGAAAGTTGCTCAGTATCTGTTGCCTTCTCAACAGCTGTGAAGGATGTGAGCCACATCCTTGGCTGCAATGAGGCTGTGAGGGAATGAGACAAAGGAAGGATGTGATAGTCTCACTACCTACAAATGTTGCTTTGACAGCACCTTTAGACCACAGCACGGAACATCCTCACATGGAAGTCATGGGTATAGCACAGGAGAAGAGGTTATTACAGCTTTTTGCCCTCAGCAACAACTCAGAAATACACGATCAGTTGCTAAATTATGGGAAGACTGACTTATTTCCTAATAATTATTTTCAAAGCTGGGGAACAGAATGAAGCATATATGTACAAAGAAAATGGGCAACCAAGGGTTGTTCTTTAGTGTGGTTTATCAAAGAGAGCATGTGTGAATTGCAATGAAAGTTAAAATTTGTTACAGTTTTACATCAAAAAGTCCTATTCTAGAATCCAAAAGACTGTTGGCAATCTCTTGGGATACTGAGAAAGCTACTTCTGCTTTCAAAGCTAGAAAACAGAATCAGAGCTTTTCAATTAAATGTTTTATTTACAGCAATAAAATATTTCAGATGACAGAAGAGCGGAAGCGGAGCCTTGTCTCAGCATCAGCCCAGATGCAGATCTAGCCAGGGTGTTGTGCTCATCATTTCTGAGGCTGTGTCTGATCCTCACTCCTGACAGTTCAGCTGCCCCCACACGTGCAGTGGGGCACAGGAGAGGCGCTGCACATGGACCTGTGGCTGGTGTCCCCCACTTCTGTGGGTCTTTGTGGGCTGTGCCCTGCCAGCCTCGCAGGGAAGGCTGGGGCGGAGGTCTGGCTGCCCCAGTGCCATCCCCTGGAAAGAGTGACAGGGAACGTCTGTGACACCGAAGGGAAGCAGATCCTTTTGCTGTGATGTCTCAATGTCTTCTGACAAAAGGGGTCTGTTCTCTATCCACTCTGCAGAAGTGTGTCTTCACCACCTAGAACCTAGGGCTTAGTCATTCTTCTGAGTGAAATTAAAATGTTAGGTAGTTAGTGTTTTCAGGTGGTAGGAAAGTTTCTCCTTTAATGATATTTACAGCCTTGTGACTCTGTAAACTTCACACAGGTCCCCTTGTTCCTGCAGTTAAAGTCAAGAGACATGAAATAAAGAGTGACCCAACTCCCCTGGGGTTTGAAGGTAGGAGTATTTCCATCCTGCATGAAAACCTCGTTTGATATTATTCACTGAATTCACATCTCATCACAGCTGGTGGATGACACTGGAGTCTGTTAGGGGGTTGAGGTCAGTTTATCTGCATAATTGGGATAATGACAGCTTGTTACTCCCTTGCCTGTCCCCTGCACTCACATTCAACTAGGAGTGGGCCTAAATTAAACTCCCAGTTCTCTGCCTGTTTGGGGAAGCAAAGCTCTAGACAGCCACCTGGATCTGGATTTTCTGCCTAGCTCTGCCTCCCTCCACAGGGAGCAGCAGCAGGGAGCCAAGGGGCTACTTATCACCTTCACCTGCAGTCTGGCCACTTGCATCCCTCTTTCCTTGTTAGTGTCTATTCCTCAAGAAGCAGGAGCCATGTGCATGAAGACTACAGGGGAGGCTAGATTATGCATTAATAGCCATTGCAGGTGCAGTGTTTAATTTCAGACAAGCAGAATTTCCTCCAATTTGTTACAGCACATTCATAAATTACTGTTTAATAAACAATACCAAAGAGTTAAATTGGGATGCTGTTCCTCAGCCACTGGAATATCACCAGCTTCCATTGTCAACTTCCCCCTTTACCCGACCATTTACCTTAGGGGGACACAAAGAACCAGGCAGGACAGAGATGTGGGCTGAGGAATCCTTTCATAGCATTCTGTTGTTCTGCACAAAAACTTGGTAAGAAGAGCCAGTGAACAGGTCAGTGATGAAATTGTTGAAATATCAGAGCTATCTCCCATGGCACTCCTAGCAGAAGAAGAGACTGGAACAGAGAGGTTGGAAGAAACAATTCAGAGACAGCAGAAGCAGTTTTGCTGTTTGCAGAATATTTCCTTTTGCCAGTGAGCCCTGGCACTATGTTTAGAACCATCCTGGCACCCTGTACCAGAGTTTCCCAAAGTGTGGGGTTTATGCCTTGCTTTCCTCACTGACAGATGCCCTGATCTCAGCATTCCCTGTGGCTGCAGAGGCAGGGGGGATTTCAGGGTGCAAGAACGATCTGCAGCATAGAGCTGACTTGCTCTTTACAGGTTAAAAAGAGGGTACTGCTGCACGGCACCCCTCACCAGGCTGAGCATCTTAAAGTAGGAAACAATGAACGTTATCACCTCTTTACCAGAAGATATTGCTGCTATTGCCAGGGTTCTGTTTGAGGTAATAACACAAGGGATCCCTCCCCAAAATTCAGTTGCATTCATCAAGAGTGAGATCATTAATTTGTAGTCTCCATGGCCCCCTTTTGCTGTATGGATTAGGATCAAAACCATAAATTATGACCTACAAAATTTCAAATGCTGCAAGGAAAATATGCTAAAAATGGGTAAGGAAGCTGTAATGAAATAGAACACTGCACTGTACACCCAGCAATTGTCTTCCTTAATTAACATCAATACTTCTGTTTGATTCATTTCGCTGTTCTCTGTCCTTCTCAGACTTACAGTTTTTCTGTGGAATGCTGCTGTCCTTTCACTCATTTGTGCTGGTCATGTGTCTCCTCTTTTATAACTGTTGGACCCCAGTCCACCTGTTTGTTAAAGAGACTGTCAGTTGCAGAGGTGATGCAGGAATTCACTTTGTACTGGTTGTCTGGTCACTATTTCACCTTGAAGACACAAATTGTACTTCCTGTCACAGATGCTTTTGAGAACACCATTTTGGCCCAGACTAAATGTAATGCCGGTTCCACCACGAGATCCGTACCTAGATCTGCTTCACAGACAGGTAAACAAAATTAAAATATTTGTAACCTCAATTGAGAGTGCAAACTAAATTTTTGATAATATTTACTCTCTTTATTCTAAGGAGATTTTTCTCTTTTGGTGAATATTATTTCCCATCAAAACAACGAAAGAACAAGCTTGAATCACTAGCTTAGAAACAATGCCCCAGATCTGGTTTTCTGAGGTCAGGCTGAAAATAGGTCTTTTAACTGAAAGTAGAGAGCTCAGAATTTGATCTGTCTTATTTTATAAGAATTAAGCATGAGAAACAAGCTGTTTCTTTGTCTCTGAAATTACAATAGGGATTTATATGGAAGAGGGAGGTTGATGCATGTATTTGTAATGAATTCTTGATGGTGAGGTTTATAAATGATAGTGGCAAAAGACTGTGGAACTTTGTCTAGCGGGGTAGAGGGATATCTTTTTCTCTTGGTGTTTGTAGTCCAGCCTGTTAATCTGAACTAAAATTGCAGTAGCAGCTTGAAGGTAATTAGAATCAGTGTATTCTTGTACATTTAGACCTTTGCTAGTATTGCTGGTGTGAATAAACTGGTACAGGACAGTGTCACTTCAGAGGCTGGTTTACACCTTTAAAATACAGATGACCAGACCATAGCTGTGGGGCAGTAGCTGGGGATGCAGTTCTGCTGGAAGAAGGTCCCTGTGTCCCTTGTAACTGGGTTCAGTTGTTGGAGCAGACAGTCCCTGGGTGGCAGAAGGGGCTACAGAGCTGCCTGACCACATGCTGTACCAAACAGTGCTTATAGCAGGGAGGATGTGCATGGGGAAGGGATTAAATAAACCAATTCATAAACCTATTTCTCCCAGATCAGGTCACTTTTCTGTTTACTGCCTGGAGTGCCTGGCTTGGGCTTTGCATTGTCTCAGGCCAGGTTTTGGTGTGGGTTGAGAGTGCTGGGATGTGCATAATCCTACTGTGTGAGCATCTGTCTCCATGCCTCGTGGTCAGAGCTTTGCCTTGTTGAGAACAATGGCCCACAGGATGTAAAGAACTTGTTTCAGCATCTGCTCAGCCCAAGTTTCAAACTGACTGACTCCATTCAGCTCTTATCTGTCAGGCCTGCAGAATCATTTGGTAGATGCAAGGTCTGTTTCCTCTGAGCTGGACTGTAGTCATTCCCATCCCCATCAGAAGGGACAGGCATCAAATGCAGGAAAGTGCAGATGATGATTGCCATCTGCACAAAAGAGCCTGAGCTACTTTTGCACCATGGAAGCCTCAGGCAGACAGGTCATATAGAGCTTAGCCTCAGTTTCCCTCAGGACACATCCTATGGACATCCCTTTTTAGGTGAAGAGAGACTGGCTGCTAAGCTTGGGCTGGAAATCTCTCACTGAGTCCATTCTGCTGGGTTGGGATGGTTGTGGTGAAAATCATGCAGTAAGACAGGTAACAGCACAAATATGACTGAGATCTCTCCTCACCCACAGGTTGTCTTTGTGCCTTTACTTTGTGCTGTTTACTCTGTCCTTTCCCTGCTTGCAGCCTGCTCGGGGGTATAGTCTTGTAATTTGCTCAGGTGGTAATGCCTGGGGTGAGATGGAGATAAGAAGTCAACCAAAATTCCATAGCTTTGTACTTAAACATGTGGAGGTAAGCTGGAAACTGAATGATCGTGGCCTTCTGAAAGTCAGGTCAGCACAAGTTATCATTTGCTCTGCAGGAAGATTCCTGGTGCTTGTTTTTTGTACCTCCTGAGCTGAAGGGATTGAGCCATGCTGAGCACTGGAAGTATCCATGGGTATGAGCACTGCAGCCACACACACTGCACTCACACCAGGGACAGTGCTTAAGAGACAGAATAATGGCTTTTTATGGCAAAACCTTGGAATAAGCTATAAAAAAGTATCAGCAATTCAGTAAGTGGAAGAGTGGGAAGTGAACCTGTGACAGTTATTTTATAAACATGGATTCTCAAAGAGGCTAATGTCTGATAGCTAACTCTCTGGTTTATCTCTTTTGAAAAGGTTGGCCCAGCAGACAAATGCCTTCTCTAGACACATTTGAAGATTTCGAAGCCATCCCTTCCAGCATGGATGAACTCTCCAACTCTTCTGATTTGGAGGAAGAGACCAACCCTAATAATGTAATTGCTTTTTAAAATTACACTGCCCTTTCCCAGCACAACTTCCTCTTCTCTAAGGATCACAATATAACCTGCAAAGTTTGGGTTCATACCAGCCTTAAATCCATGGATGTGTGGGAATAAAGAAGATGAAATTTGACCTGGGGAGTTGGAAGATTATTACAAGACTTTTGTTGATCAGGATGAGGATCATAAAAAGTCTCCCTTAATTGTAAGCTGTCACTTTGCCTGCTACAAAAATGAGGGGAAAACTGAGTCTTAAAAAAAATTATTTCAGACTTTTGCAGATAACTTCACCTGGTGTCACAAACCTAATTTTCAGATCAGAATATGGCTGGAAAGCTAAGCCTAAAATCTAAATACAGATAAGAGCTCGATCCGAACTTTGAATAATATTTAACCTGGGCAAGATAAAACACAATTGCCTACAGAAGAAATCTCTGCCAGCTTGAAATGCCTAATTCAGTATTTAACTAAAAGCTCTTGCACAGTGTTCTTTCATCCATAGTGATTTGTATTTCTTGCCTTGTTTCATTCATTTTAGGGGAGCAATCTATTCCGTGTTGAAGGCAGTTTTGACAGCTGTTTCCCAGATTCTCTTACTCTTGAGGATGGAGATTTAGTGCAGTTTGTGCAGGAAGGAGAGAATGGTCAATGGTGAGTATGACAGAAAGACAGAACTGGATAGGTAGAACAGCCATAACCTCCTGGAAAAGATGGAAAATATTCAGAATAACGTCAAAATCTCTTCAAAATCAATCCAAATCCACTCACCCCATTTATCACAACATGAAAGAGGCAGTGGGAGGCATGAACACACAAGGCAGCTTTGGTTAATTCCACCTGGGTGGCTTTCATCCCAAATGCCTATGACATGAGGTTTAAGGGGACAAGTTTGTGTAAAGGAAATGGATGGGAATTGTTGGGCTTTTGACACCAGAAGGACATCTATCAAAGGCAGCACCCTCCTGTAGGATACATCAGTGAAAACCCCACACCTTCCACTGAGAGCACTTTTAGCCCCAGAAGTTTAAATATGTGACTGACAAAGAGGAGTGAGTCTGGCCCCCTGAGCTCACATAAGTTTTGGTGTATTCATTTTCTCTTGCTGCCAAGTGAGTGTTAGGAACAGACCTGCCTGGACATCTGAATTCTCCCTTCACAGGCAGGAGAAAGAAGTGGTGTCCCTCAGGGGTCTGTGCTGGGGCCAGTTCTGTTCAATATTTTTATTGACATGGATGAGGGTATTGAGTCTTTCATTAGTAAATCTGCAGATGACACTGAGCTGGGAGCATGTGTTGATCTATTGGAAGGTAGGAGGGCTCTGCAGAGAGACCTGAATGGTTGGATGGATGAGCATAGTCCAACAAGGTGAAGTTTAATAAGTCCAAGTGCCAAGTCCTGCATTTTGGCCACAACAACCCCCTGCAGCATTATAGGGTGGGGATGCTGTGGCTGGACAGTGCCCAGGCAGAAAGGGACCTGGGGGTACGGGTCAACAGCTGGCTGAACATGAGCCAGCAGTGTGCCCTGGTGGCCAAGAAGGCCAATAGCCCCTGGCCTGGATCAGGAATGGTGTGACCAGCAGGAGCAGGGAGGTTACTCTTCCCCTGTACTGGGCACTGGTGAGGCCAGACCTTGAGTGCTGTGTCCAGTTCTGTCCCCTCAGTTTAGGAAGGACCTTGAGACACTTGAGTGACACAGAGGAGGTGACAAGGCTGGGGAGGGGCTTGGAACACAAACCGTGTGAGGAACGACTGAGGGAGCTGGGGGTGTTCAGCCTGGAGGAAAGGAGACTCAGGGGTGACCTTATCACTCTCTACAACTCCCTGAAAGGTGGCTGTAGTCAGGTGGGGTTGGTCTCTTTCTCCAAGCAGCACTGACAGAATGAGAGAACACAGTCTTAAGCTGTGCCAAGGGAAATATAGGATGGATATTATGAAATTTTTTTTTACAGAAAGGGTGATCAAGTACTGGAATGATCTGCCTGGGGAGGTGTTGGAGTCACCATCCTTGTATGTACTTAAAAAAAGACTGGATGTGGCACTCAGTGCCATGGTTTAGTTGAGGTGTTAGGGCATGGGCTGGACTCGATGATTTTGAAGGTCTCTTCCAACCTAGTGATTTTGTGATTCTGCATGGGTACCTGTAGGACTGCCCTGGGTCCTCTGCCTTCTTCCTTAGTTTAGGAAATAATAGCCCAACATGCACTTCTAGGAAACACAACTCAGGGAATGGCAATGTGGGAAAATTCACTGACTGTTCTCTGAGTTTCAGGTTAGTGAAGAAACTGGTGTCTGAGAAAAGCGACTGGGTTCCCTCCAGTATATTGCAGCCAGCAGAGGGGGACAGTAACAACATAATTAAGAGCAGCAATGCAGGTAATAGAGAAAATGTGTTATTGGCTTGGTGTTTTTTTCTCCATACTGAAAAACGATGCAATAGTAAAAAAAAAAAAAAAAGTGATAAAAAGTGCACTTTCTGTATTAAAGTGCTCACCTGAGTGCAAGTCTGTGCTGCAGTTTCTGGCGACATGGCTGAGCTAACCTGAAATTTGGTGTCTGGGTGTCAGAGCTAGTCATGCACAGCAGCTTTCTTTGGCCTGATTTAATTGTTTTCCCCTTTCTGAGCAGAACTTGAGTCTCCCATCCAACTTCTATGGCTGTGAGTACTGGCTGCTTTACAGCAAGCCCAGGAGTCTTATACACAGGGTGTGCCTGCAGGACAGCTTTGATCCTGACATGGTTAGTCTTTGGATGTAGAACAGCATCAGGGCTGTGCTTCTGGCCCAGGTTTGAAAACATAAAAATTTAATGAACCATTACTGCCTTCATCATATTACACAGCTGGCTCCAAAAGCTGCAGGAAGGGCTGCTCTGGCAAGGTTTCAGCCAAATCAGCACTAAAAGTCAAACATTCTCAGCTTTGGTTCTGACCTAACACCCAAACAAGTTACACTGAAAAAGCTGTACCTGAGCAACTCTGCAGATCAAAGGTTTACAATTCTAGACCAATATTTTTCCATACTTTAAATATAATTTACCAAAATGTGTCCTGCTTTTCTTCTGATAGCAGAATAAAGCAAAATCTGGCACAGCCATTCCCTGGAGATCTGTGCTGGAGAGCTACCAGCACTTTATTATAAGTTACTGATCTCTTTGGATTTTTTTGGTCATTTTGTTAAAGTGAAGGAAATCCTTTTTGAACCTCAGGATTCTTTGCTGTGGTGTAAAGGGAGTTTAGTAATTGCTGCTCCTTCACCTCGACAGCAGGCCAGTCCTCTCCTTATCAGCCCAACGATGGCTCTCATTTCACTGGCATGTCCAGTGCTTCCAAAGAAAATCAAAGCCAGGCACACATTACAGTCACACACCAAAGGAGCCTCCCTTGCCTCTTGTGAAGGAATTAGGAGAGCAGTAGAATTGTGATTTAATGTTTTATTTTATTCCAGGCTTTTAACAAAAAATCTCAAGACTGCAGATGGAAAATCCTGTAGAGATATTGTAGTGACAATGCCCATGTGCTCCTTTTCAGACACGTACAACGATTCCTGCAGCACAGCTTCAGTAGAGTCAGACACGAAGGAAAGTGAGGTGGCCAAAAGCTTCCCAGCAGAACAGAGGGCTGGCAGCTGAACAGCAGGACCAGCCTTCCTCAGGACCCGTCCACCTGTCTTTATCTTGGGTGGACATTGGATCAAAGTTGCCTTTCTCACAAGCTCTGAGGTTCATAATTCACTAAAATTTTATCAACATGAACAGATGAGAACTGTGCTGTCCACCTGGCAAGCTGGGAAAAACAAACTTGAAAGGAGCATTAAACATCCAGAAAACATCAAACCTACCTTCAGTATTAGAGGAGAAAAATGCTTCTCGCATTGATTATCAAACTGTTTCAGAAGATGTGGCCTAAATTAGGTCGACAGCAGAGCTGAAGAGTTTCTATGCACGCACCTTTTGGCAACTTTGCTTGAGCACCACATCACTGCAGAGGGGCACGTGGTGGTTACGAGTCCTTGCACCACCCTGGGGTCACCTGGAGGTTTTTCCATTTGCTTGCCTCTGGCTGTGCCTTCCCTGTCCTCCTTAATTCCAGCTGATACATCATCACAAATGTGCCCTTTTTGATCAACACCAAAAACACCCCACCTAAGGGTGGCTGTGGAAGGGAGACTCCTGGCTGGGACCATCAGAGGGGCTCTGTGCAGCAGTGGGGGGACTCCTCTGCGGGAGGGTCCTGCTGCACACAGCATTCCACACCTGGAACGTGGCAGCTCCTGGCTGGGAGGTGCAGGGCTGAGCAGGGAAGTAAAGACATGTAACAGCTACTGTGACAAAGAACACTTTGAACTCTTTTTACAGTCTAAGTCATTCCTCTGTCCCCTCTACAGTCTCTGGTTTCTGGATCACAACCCTTTGCATTTGGTGCCGAAAATTCAGTTGAATGCCATTTACTGTCACACTTTTAAGTAGACTGCATGCTTTCCTTGTGTGCTGGGCTATGAGTAGATACATTTCACCCCCCATTTGGAATATACTTAATCATTGCAAATAGGCAGTGAGCATTAGATGAGTGGATAAAGTGTTGTTGTTAAATACTTCTTTCCAGGCCGTTTGATGAAAGGACTGTACCAAATCTCTGCCACATAAGGATGTAATGTATAATATAAAGTGATTGCAGATGTTATGATTCCTACACAAGCCATTAGCTCATTTAGAGCAGCTGTTAAGGCATGAAGGCATTTTGATGGTAATTGGGTCTTAGGTCCCACAAAAGCTGCTAGTACTTTAGTAAAGATAAATATTGACTAAGGGTGCAAACAGGCAAAGATCGGTCTGGTAAAAATGAGCCCAGAAGAAGCTCAAGAGTGAGTGGCTTTCACTCTTAGGTATGTTTTGTTTAACCCTCAGACTAGCGGTGCTTTATGTAAATAACAAAGGGCACTAAAAGCACTAGAAATGGAGATGAAGCAAAACCAAAACCTACTCTTTACTAATTGATCCTCTGAGCAAAGCAGTGTGTGTATCATTTCTGCTCTCACCTTCACAGGGACTCGAATGTTTTCCTTTGTGTCTCAGTGGAGGCTGGCGTTGCAAGTACCTTAGTGTGTGAGTCAGGATAAGCAGAGTCCTGTTTGAGAAAAAGCCTTGGAGTAGGCAAAGGCTTAGTCAGATTTTTTTTTGCCTGTGAAGACTTATTGCTTGATTATAAGTTGCACTGTGGTGATTGATTCCCATGGCTCTTCTAACTCTCCATATCTAAACTCTGTGATTTTTGACATTTTCTGTTCATGACTAAAGGACCTTTCTGGAAGCTATTTCTGTCCTACAGAGGTAGGAGTTTGCCTGTTTGTGTTGGTCATATACCTCAAAAATGACATGCAGGCTCTCAGGAACATGAATCCTCTTGGTCTACTGTGGTTATCAGCATCTTGCAGGAAAAATTTATTCAATTCAGTCCTCTAAGGAAATACACAGTGATGTTTTCTTATAGTGCAGTTACTTTCTCCTCTCTCTAAAACAAATTCATCCTGGTTTCTCTATTCCTTTCAGTAATTTTTGCACAGAAAGAGTTCTGCTGTCTACCCCTGCCCTAAGCATAGGAGAGGGAAGGGCTAGGCAGCTTTGATTGCACATTAGTGAGTATAGTAAGCTTTTGTGTGTGGGAGAGAGAGATGGGGGAGGATTACCCTGGGTGTGTGAAACTGCCAAAATGAAAATTTGTGGCATTACTGATGGATGGAAAGATAAAAAACCTGCACTTTGGAGTTTTATTTTTGAGGAATCTCATTCTGATTGTGAAATGGCAAAGAGAAGTCTCTGAACTGAAGATGAGAAGTCAGGTATTGTCAGTCCATACCTCTGCATGAGCAGGGTGACAGTGTGCTGATCCTACATCCCTTGGTACCCTGGCACCTTCCTGTAAAATGGAAGCTATTGAATTTCCCATTAAATACTAAATTTTACCATGTATACAAAAATTAGGGACCCTTCAGGGAAAAGTAAAGCATTTCACTCCATATGCCTCAATGTGCCCTCCAAGAGTGCCACTGGTGGGATCCTGTGGAGCAGGGAATGGGGTTACTGAGGAAAAGGGTCCTCTCTCAGCTCCAGACCATCAGTCATGGCAACTGCAAAGGTAGGGGCTGGATTATTGCATTCTCCTCCCTACTTCGCTTTTGAAAACCTTTCCCCCTCCAAAAAAAGTCTCATGTTTTATCCTGCTAGACCAAAGTTTGAGTGTGTGCTGCTCCATGGATGCCCTGGGGATGACAGGTCCCTCTGTGCCATGGCTGTGCAGCAGTGGCACAGCACTCAGCTCACTGTGCCACAGCTCCTCGGGCACACTGAGCCTGAGCAGGGAACTCCCAACCATGAATTGTCTTTAACCTCCCTGCAGTGCCAGGTGCCTGTTTCTGCCTCCATGTTCCCAACCCAGGGCCCAGGGCAGCCCTGGCAGGGTGTCCTGGGCAGTGACAGAGCCCTTTGATTCAAGAGTCAGTGAGACACGGCCCCTGCAGTGCTGGCTTTGGGAAAGAATGAGTTCAGTGACAGACCAGGCTGCTGACAAATCCTAGAGCAGTCCACAAAGGAATAAACTTCTGGCTCTGCTGATCAGACAAAATGAGGTTTGATGACTTTTGGAGTTCTAAAAATAGTATGCAGGATAGCATTTTAATTAGTGTCTTTCTGTCAAGCAAGGTGATAATTAAGGGAATGACTCTTCATGTACAGTCTAGAAGATGATTTGGTAAAGCCCAGCAAGACTAATGTGTATGTTAGGGTATGCTTATGCTGTCTGTAGGTCTTTGACACCATCCCTTTCAGGTAAATGGACCTAAATATCATAGTTTTCAAATAAGGATTTCATTTCAGTGTTGTTTGGAGATGCTATAGTGACCACTTAGAAGTCATTTAAAAGTAATGGTTGTGACTAAGTTTTGGCTGTAGAAGACACCAGATCCCAGGTAAATCCATGTGCAGCAGCCCTTGCTGCTGGCCCCATGCCTGGCTGTGTTTCCTGGGCTGGTCACACCTGCCTTCCAGGCTGAGGGTTTGCCTGGGCTCTCCTCCCTCTGCTCTGCTGCTCCTCTGCAGAACTTCAGAAACTTCACATCCTCAAAATGCTCACTCAGGTGGAGTGGGCTGCACCCCAATTCTGGCACCAATGGCAAAGAGAAGACAGGCAGTTGCATGACACATGAGTCTTGTTTTTAGTAAACCAGGCTAAAATAGAATCAGGCCTGATCCTCTCCTCTCACCTGGAACCCCACCAGGTGGAGAACCAGACCAGTGGTCGTTGTCTTGAACACAAACAGCTGCAGCCAAACCACATCTGAGCTCTGGCTTTTCTCGCCAGTGACAGCAAAGCTCTGTGTGTGTCTTTTGTTCTGGTCGTGTGTGTGATGAGAAGCCATTTTATTATTTATGATTTTCTTAGAGTCTTGATATTTCAAACAGGATTGGGTATGAGAAAGGCCATGTGCTTCCTTTCCAAAAATACTCAAAGAGTTCAAATATATATATGATTAGAAATATATAAATATAATAAGAAAAAAAGATCCAAAATGTGTATTTCTTCTTGCAGCTGGACTGAAATAGCTGCTAAGGTTTCTTCTCCCCAGCTGAGAATTGGTACAGTTTGTTTTTCTTACATGATTTCCATGGTGTTGATAATGATGTATTTGTATATTGTGACTGATGAGAGATAATCATACAGGGAAAGAGCACAGAATTATCTGTCCTTTTTTCCAGTCAAGAAAGAATGTATGAATTTATTACAAGAAAAAAAGTGTGCAAATGAACTTCCTGTAATTAGGCCATTCTGACCTGTGTAGAACCACACTTCGTTTGAAATTTATAAAAATTATAACTAGTACAAAACCCTGTGGTTGATGTCTCTATATGAAGCAACAAGTAAAATGAGATCTTTTTCTATTTGAAATAAATGAATTATCAGTAAAGGCACATTATCAGAGCTGAAAAAAATGCACATATTTGTCCAATATAAGTTTAATTTGTCCAACACACATGCCAAAAGGCAGAGTAGGGATTTTTTTCCTTTACCCATCTCCCTTAGTCATGTTCTGAATTACTAAGACTCTTAGAAGAGTGCAAATGTTCACACAGACAACTCAGATGAAGTCATAGACGACTTTGTAATAGTTACTCCTGAGATATCTGCATGCCTTTGGCTACCAGTGTTCATTAGGGAGTGCTAATTGACCCAAATACAAGCTGTGGATCATGTAGAAAGGCAAGCAGGTAAAAATGAGAATGTAGAAACACAGCAGGATAAACTGGAGCAGATTTCAGCAGTATCCAGATTTCTGCGGGCAAACTTCACCTCACCTGACTTTTCAAGTTCTTGGTGTCACCATGTTCCTGCAGTGAGTATTGGTATGAGGAAAAGAAGAATTAGGAGGACGCCAGATGCCAGCGTGTGGGTTGCTTTGTTCCCTGCCCCAAGCAGCCCCTGGGGAATGCCCAGGGCAGGGAATGCCCGGGGCAGGAGTGAGCGATGCTCTCTGCGCACATCCCGACCCGCAGCCGGCACTGCCCGCGCAGCTCCTGCCCCGGCCCGGGGAGCTGAGCAGGAGCCCCTGGGATGTGACCCCAGCCCATCCACCTTGGGCTGGGAGCAGCAAAGAATAGTCCCCAGCTGGGGCTCTGATCAGCCCTGTCCTACTGTCAGCACCTGCTCTGCGGAGATGGTCACACCTCTCCCTTCTGTGCCTTAACATAAAAGATGGAGTTTGGTCTTAAATGCAGTATTTTCTAAAGAACACAGGGGAGGCACTGATTTACAGGCTGTAACCCTCTGCTGGGGCACTTCGCACAGGTTATCAGAGGGGGAGGGAGATGCACGAAGCTCTCCCTGCCTTGCAGAGCCCCAGGTCTCCTCCCAGTCAGCCCAGCAGTCATTTCTCTTCTCACTTTCTTTCCTAACCATCGTTTATTCCCTTCTGCGTGAGTTTACAGACGAGAGGCATCGGTCTCCTCCTCTCCCTCCACCTCCTTCCCAGCCATGTGACTGAGCACTCCCTGCATCAAGAGAAACTTTTCAGCCCGCAGGAAAGCTCGGTTTCCTCGCTCCCCGGGGAGAAGCAGCAGCTCCGACACCGCAGCGTGCTGGCCATGGGGAGGAGCGCGGGGCAGCTCATCTCGCTGACCCTCGCCTGTGGTGAGTAACAGCATCATTTCTACCCGAAAAACGGGACATTATGCTAGTTTTGTTTCCTTGCAGTCAGGACAGCACCCAACAGACTCAAAACTTCGGACAGTTTTGTTGCTAACACTAAAGGTGCTTTCAGTAAAGTCCTACTGCTAAGAAATGACCACAACTGCTGTTAATTGCAGCTGGTATACACTTTGATGTTTTCCTCTGTCGTTTCCCTTGAACTCTGTGGTGGCATAAACTCCGTGTGAAGGAGTCAGTTCAAAGCCATGTTAGAAGCAGACTTTTTTGGCTTTTTTTTTCTTAATTAAAAATAATTTTTACACCTGCATAGCTAACTGAAAATCCTGAGTGAGACAAGCAGGAAAAAAAAAAAAAACAACTAAGGATGTGTTGCTCGAGTCATTAATTTATCTGCACTGCAAGATGCAGAGCAGGATCAGGAAAACAGGAGTGAGGCAAGGGCTTGGAAAAGATGGGCTGGGGCTTCTCTCAATGACAAACCCCACAAGAGTCACCATTTGATCTTTAATGCTGCTCTGTGAAAATATGGGGAGCCATACATATGAGGGAAATCTCCCAGTGCTTTGAGTCACTGCTCAACACCTGCAGCAGTACCAAATTTGCCTGATGAAGAGAGACAAAATGTGATTTAATCTGTGGAATGGCCAAGCGTTTGAGCTCACTGTTGGGTGTATTTTGCCATTGGCACATGGGGATCACACAAAGAACAATCCCTGTTCCCCTCCCAGTCCATGAGCAGATAAAGTGCCCAGGGTCTTGACCACGAGCTGTTCCTGCTCTATATCTGTGCTTTCCCATGCCTGCTTCATACACAAAGTCTGTTGAAGTATCCTCAAAACATACAAATGAAAGAGAGAGCAAGATCAGATTGAGAAGCAACAATAATAATTCAGTGGTCAGCAATCACTTTTGACCAGAAAGAACTTGTTTCCTCTGTTCTTAACCCATTTTTGATATTTTCTTTAATGATGTTTTATTAATGTCACAAAGTCAAGTCTTTCTATGCAGACAGGAAATGAAACATAATTAGTGCAGAGAAAACCCACTGGCTGAACAGATGAGTGTGGTTAGATGAAAAAGGAAAAAAATCCTCAGTAAGAGTTTCTATCACACACCCCAGTACAGGCTGAGAAATGGCACAGGCAAGCCATGGCACTGTAACACCTCTCTGGTAGTCACCCAGTGAGCAAGAGCCATGGGTCATTCCAAAGACATTTCTGGCTTTACCCCTCAGGTGACCCTGTCTGGGTGAATAATGAAAAATAATTGGGTTGAAATGACCTTTTGAGGAGTTTTATTTAAAAGCTATGGGTGGCATTCTGATGTCACTTCAATAATATTTCTTTCTACATGTGTGTTACCTGGTCAATAATCAAAACTAATCTGTGAACTGAAAACTAAGACCTACAGACAATTTAGGACTTGTATAAATTTAAATATGGGTTGTTTCACAGTCTTAGAAGGGAAGAAAGAGTGAAAATTGCAACTTCTTCTTTCTTGTTTTTATCATGCTGATACACTCAGATGCAGCTACCCATAACTGGTGCATGGCAACTGCTCTGGCTTTCCCCTGGCCCCACAGAAGGACATCAGTCATCTGATTAACAGCCCTGCACCAGCTGGGGTAAAGCGTAGGGGAAAGACAGAAAATGAACTAAAGTATCATATGAATTACGCATTTTTAGGTTCATTTTGAGAAAAATCACAATATTTGTGGAGGTTTTTCGACTGTCTCAAGTTGTACTTTAATGGTAACACCTAAAGTGGCAGTCAGGTGTGTTCTGTACAGCTCAGAGTGAAACCCAGGCAATTTTAGGAGTATGGAGTATTTACATCTATATTTCTGCTCTTCTCCAGCATAGCCATTTTCAAGGGAAAATTGTGGTAAGGGTTCAGATCTGTGCATCTGCTCTTGTTTCTTTGATTTTTTATCTTAAATTTGATCCAAAACTCAGTAAGTTTTATTATTCTTATGTTGGAGTCAGATTAGATTATATGTATCAAAAAAGGGCTAGATTTTGTGAATTTAACTATTATTGAAGATCTCTGTTCATGATGAGTGACAATAAATAAATGAATGCATGGAAGAACTTGTGAGATTTTAGCCGTTTTCACTCTAAATATGCCTCTGGCATTAAGCTGTCCTAAAATCCTAATCTCAGCAGCCTGCCTGCCATCAACTTTGACACTGATTCATGAGAAATTTCTTTGAAAGAACCAGTGCACAGTGAACACAGATATGTTGAGGTATTCTCTGTGGAGTTGTACTGCTGGGAATATGAACTATCTCGGACTTTTGGGTCCCTTCTGTCTCCAAACTGGTGAATTTATCTCTGTCCTCCCACTAATTTAGGCAGTAAAGCATTTAACAACACCTATATCTTTATGGACATAAAATAATTCACATACATCAGTGATTTATTTCTTTAACTTGACCTTGAGTCTTGTTGTATACTCACAAAGACTGAAGCAGAAGAGTTGTGACATTCAAATATTCTACAATGTACTTTCCCACTTTTTGTTCACTTCTGTATTTATATTTAGGAGACAGATTTTTTTTTTTCCCACTTCTGCAAGGGACATGTTTCTGTAAATGTTTTTAGGTGGAAGCATAATTTTGGTGCTGTAATTATTTTCTGATGTGGTCCAAAATGCTCCTGGGTGCTGCACCCTGTTTTTTTTTCCTCCTTTCTGAAAGCCCATTACTAAGAGAGATCGTCCTTCTTTGGGTTCTTCCAGGAGGAAAAACTCCAGGGTTCAAGCTGACATGGCTACAACAAAACCATAAATAAATACCTGGATTTTCCCTGCTCCCAGACTGGTTTCCCAGATGTTGTGAATCACTGTAAGACCATTGCACTGCCTCACTTCCTTCACACACACAGACACATCCCCTTTCCCTACACTTCGTTGGTAAAAACCAACAACCCCTTTGGCTGCTACACCCACTTCATCTTCCTTAGACCTCGACAATTTGCTTCCAGCAAATCCTGCTGAACTACGGGAATTCCCTGCAGGGAATTCTTGTGCTGCCTGGGGATTGTGTGAGGTCTGGTTCCTCAGTGTGTGGAGAGCTGGGAGCCAGTGTTCTCCACTGGAACGGGAATATGCAGAGGTCTGAAACTTGGGGGAGTGGTGCCTAGCTGTGGATAGTCCTACAGGGTGTCTGCTTTCACTCTTCTATCATGACTGGAGCCAAATGAAGAAATTGTATCACCCATTTGATAACAAACCAGTGCAGGTATGTTAATGTAAACGTAAAGGTTTCTAGACTACTGACTTTAGTTTCTTTGCAGCATTTTCCTCCTGTTTTCCTGAAGTGGCCCTGGGGGTCGAACTGTCTTCAGAAACCACATCCTTCCACCAAACGGCTACTTCTGCTCAGCCACTTTCCCTTTATCAATCTTCACCCCATCAAAGCACCACAGTTCCTTTAAACAGCACAGGTCCTGTTCAAACGATACCCATGAGCCACAGAACAACTGAGCAGACAACAGAGCAGCTCCAGGCAGCCTCAGCTCCAGGCCAGCCCACGGCAGCCCAGGCAGGAGCAGGCACAGAATCCACGACAGGCACAGACAGCCCCAGCACAGCCACGGCCCCAGCAATGCCCTCGGGTAGAGCAGCAGAGAGGAACACAACCACCCCCTCTGTGTCCTCCACCAGGGGACCAGGTGTGACCACGGGAGCTCCACCAGTGGCCACCAACACGTCCCTGAAGAACGAGACAGCGACTACCCCGGGCAGCAGCACTGCCTCTGCAGCCAGCAGCACGCACTCACGGACACAAACAACGGCCACGGCCAACAGCACAGCCACCCACACCGGGACACACACAGCCCCCACGTCCCCTGCCAGCACAGTGAGACCCCCTCCCACCCCACAGCCCTCTGGCATCCCCACTGGCACCTACACCGTTTCTGATGGGAACAGGACCTGCGTCAAAGCTGTCATGGGTCTGCAGCTGATGGCTCGAAATACGGAACGGGTGAGAGCTCAGGGAGCTGAGCTTTGTAGTGACTTCATTCGTTAGCTGGAATTTATTCTTCCTCTTTGCAAACCATTTTCAGAATTAGCTTCTATGATCAAAATAAGTGGTTTGCTGCCAGTCTAAGGCCCCTCATGTGCCACAGCATCCCAGCTGCTGTACTTTGGCCTGTGTGATGATGATGCCAAGAGGGTGTAAAAGTGCTTTCTTACTTCAGTGATATTTGTGTGGGAGCAATGCTGGGGCAGGAGATCAGCCTGCAGGGTTATTTGTGCTTTCCAGAATGGGAGATTGGCTAAAATCTGAACTGACTTCAGGTAAGAGCTTGACCTTGTGAGTTGCAACAAAAGCAAGCAATTTCCTCTTCACAGACCTGGATTTTGAGGTGGATTGTCCTGATGCTGATGCATGGGCATTTTAGGATCAGGGAAACTCCTGAAGAGCTGGTTGTCTCTCCTAGAAGTGATCCACTGAGAATGATTCAGCAAAAGATGTCATACAACCTGAAATGGCAATTGTGTTCCTCAGGCTTAAGGTTTTGTAGCCTCCATTAATACAACACATGGAGCTACACCCTCAGGCTCTGGAGTTCTTATGCTCGAGCCATCCCTGTTACAATTACATTACAAAAGCATTCATATTTGATGTCTGAATATTTCTGACCCTGGATTACTGTCTAATGTTGGTAAAGGGAATTTTCATCCCTTGTCCTGGCAGAAGCCAGGCAGGGAGCAGGATTCCCACCCTCACCAGACCACGGTGAGATGTTTATAATCATAAGGTGCTCCCTCTTTATAAATTACCATTCATACTCACCTGACCCTGCCTGAATAATATCAGTTCACTGAATGAACAGAAACCAAATATTTTCTGCCAGCTTAATGCACTGGAACAGCTCAGTGATGTGTCAGACCAGTGCTGGCTTGTGAGTGGGGAATGACCCTGGCAGGCAGCAGTTCAGCTGCCACCACCACTGGCTGGTTCATTCACCACACAGAGCCTTTTGGGGGGGAAAAAAAAAGGGCGAATCTCTGCATGTTTAAAAGTTATTAAATCTCTGCATGTTTGTTTTTAAGTTCACCCCTCCTCTTCATCAGCAGCCCTGCAATGTCTCTTCTCTCTACAGGAGCAGATGGAATATATGACTGTCAACCCCAATGCAACAAAGATATCTGGAAGCTGTGGGATGGTGCAGTCTCAGCTGAACTTAACTTTTAGTGGAGGATTTGTAGACATCACCTTTGTAAAGGTAATTGCTGCATTTAAAGGGAAGGAGTGTTTAGGCTTGGGAAGCAAGAACTTAGGCTGCCTTTGATCAGGCTTGAGCAGTGGGAAAAGGCTTTTTTTCTATCTCTGTGCTTGTTTTCCATCTGTGTATAAGGCATGGTTACTCCTGTTCTTCCCAAAGAAGTAGAACCACAGAACTATGGTTTATTTAATTCAGGTTGGAAAATACCTCTGGAGGCTGCCTGGTGCAACATTGTGCTTGCAGTACAACTGACTTCAGTGTTAAATCAGGTCTGTTTGAACTTTCAATTTGGAAGTGAAGGGTAAGCACAGTACTCTGCCATCCTCTGACAGAAAGTGCCAGACAGCAGGGTTAAAGCTGTCCATCAAGCAACACCAAGTCTAGGAATAACCAAGCAAAATCTGACTCTTTTTTACATAGGTAAAAGTCTCATAGGAGGGAAGGTCAGGTCTGCTATTTGCATTGGAGTGGTGCAGAGGGAAAGGGCTTGGGACTGGAGTCCCTGTGCAGGAACAATGTGTGCTGAGAGCTCTGACTCACACTGTCAAGTTGCTCTCAGCCATTTGCTTCCCCCAAAAGCCAGCTGGGGTTGTCAAATTCAAAGGACAGCCTGTGCAATTTTAAGTGCCCAGGAGTCATGACACATCCACAGCTGAAGGAGTCTAATTTCATCTAATTTCTGAGTAGAAAATTCCAAACTAATGAACTGCAACAACAAAATTGTTGATAAGTGCTCTTAAAATGCACCACACCAGGAAGACCTATAAACACACACAGAAATTTGGCCAAAATGAGAGATCTTGCTTACACAGTGGGAAACTGAGCTTTGTTTTTGACTCTATATCTGTTAATTCCATGTTCCCCACTGGGGCCACATCACATGTAAGTGTGACTGTAAAACAAGCTACCAAGAGTCCTGCAGCTTTTATAAGCAGGAGAAAATCCCTGAGTGCAGCCATCCTCTTGCTAACTTGGGCATTTCCACATTTTGAGAGGCAGCACAATTTATCTAAAAGCTGAAGGGGCTGGGTGATGATGCCAGCAGAGGTAAAACAGAACTAACACTGTGTATAAAGTCATTAATGGGCAGGGAGGAATGGGCAGGAACATAGCATGGGTTGGATCCCATCAAACTCTGGCAGGTGTAATGAACATCAAGACCATGCCCTGGAGTTCCACAGCAGCTGAGAGCTGCATCTGGCCATCACTGCTGATCTGTGTCCTTCAGTTAATCAAGCTAAAGTGTCAGTCTTGCAACCTGGTTCCAAGCTCAAATTTGAGACAATTAAAAAAACTACAACTGGTTAATCAGTCATTTTCATAGAAAGTCCAAGAGGGAACAGCAAATTATATCCCACATGTGTTATTTATTCTTGAGCAGAGAAAATGTTTCGATTAGCAGTCATCTTTATTTTAGTTTATGGCAAAAAGTTTTCTAAGAGCTACAGAGGAAAAGTAAGGTAAAAAATGAAGGAGCTCTTTCAAAACAAAGGATCGATTCAGACTCTGAGTGTTTGCTTTAAATGTGTGTTTCCTGCAACAAGAGGAGCATTCTTGGTGTAACAAGAATCCTTGGAGAAAGGCTGGGGATTCAAGCACCCACAAAAGCCCCAGGCTGCAGCAGTGCTAAGGAGAGTGATGTGAACCTTTAGGAGGTGCTTGACCTGTCTTGCCCTGAAAAAGGTGGTTTTTGGCACAGCATTAGACAATGCACCCTCCACTTAAAGATAAGCCTCAAGAGCATAGCAGGGCTCAGCTTGGACTGCTTTGAAACTCAAGTTAATAAGAAAACAGTTTGCTGCTGGCTTTTTGTGTTTGGTCCCCACAGCCTCTCTGGGTGCTTTGAAGCAGGAGGCTCCAGCAGTGGCACTTGTGGCTGTTCCTGGTGGGAGAGGAGCTGGCTCAGGCCCCGGGGCTGGAGTGGTAGAGGAGAGGGGCTGCTTCAGTGCTCACCAATCCCACGACCTCTGCAAAGGGCTTGAAAAAAGGAAGTTGTGTAACCAACCCACAAGATGTGAAGTAGGAGCAGGTGTTTTCCCCAAGAAAAGTTTTTAACTGCGGCCAAACAGAAAAAAGCACTGCCACCCAAAAATGGCCATGTTCCACATAATTACGTCTCTCAGTTGGAATAATGCTGAAAAATTTTTCTCTGGTGTATTTCTTTCTTCAGTTTTCCCTCTCCATCCTACCAGTTTTTAACTGGCAGCACAGGAGACATTAATGTCTACTGTCATTTACCCACCAGCTGCACTCACCAGTCCCTGTGTGCTCACAGCAGGAATTAAATTGGGTAGAAGGGCTGCTGCATGAGGTATCACATTTTACTCCAACACTCCTACCAGGGGGAAGTTCCCAGGGCTGGCTCTCACCCTGTGACACTCCAGGGGAGGGCAGCGTCCAGGCTGCACCAGGGTTTCAGGGCTCACGCCACCAGGACACTCGGCAGGAAGTTTTGTTCCTTGCTGTAGTACCAGCGGCTTGCCATGTCAGCAGTCTTCCTACTTTTGGTTATCACAAGTATCCCATGAGTGCCCAGCTTGAGCAGTTTGAGTAAAATGACACCAGCATGGTCCCATTTCACTGAACTGAACTGAAGTGGTGATGCAGCTGAGATTGGGAAAAGAAAAGTACATCCAAGAGAGTTGATTCTTGGGTCTCAAAGCTGATGCTTTACAAAGTGTTTCTTTGGGAAATTCTTTATGACCATTTTGCAGAGGTAAGCTGTGTTTCTTTCCCCTGCAAATATATGTATGTATTATGAATAAAGATACATCTTCTTTTGCAGCAAGCTCCAAGTTACTCTGTCACTAAAATTGAGAGCAGAATGCAGTTATCTACCGAAGGTCAGTGATTTTACCCTGTCTTAATTTCATATCAAACTGTTCTGGGTATGGGATAAGTTTTCAGATCTTTAAAACACTGGATTTTGCAAATATGTGTTTTATCAAGCTTTCAATGTGTCATTCACCTAAATCTTATGGTATAAAAATGGAAAAGAAGGGACCTGGCTGCAGTTACGTCACTACTATCACATTTTCTTTTTGATTTCAAAAGCTTTCCCTGCCCCACTCTTTCAGAATAGAGAGTACTTCAAATCTTGCCTGCTCCTGTGAGAATTCTTACCCCCTCTTGCAGAATCAATTTGTTAAACTGTGATTTGAAGAAGCATCTGAAATTTTAGCCACTTTTTCAGACCTAAGCTCAACTGAGTTGTCCATTGATAGTTAAAGCACTAAACATGTTTCATTTAAACATGTAAGAAGAATAAGTGATAGCTTATGGAGAAAATGTCCATGCTTTAGTCACCTCTGGGACCATTTTACCTCAGAAAGATATTGGTTCCAATGGAGTCAGTGTGGATTCTCATCTGTCTCTCTCTGGTGTCCAGGTATGTTTTACTATGCAGACTTGAATGAGAAGCTGTTCACAACAAAGCTGGGGAATTCCTTTAAGTGTGCCAGCAGGCAAACCTTCACCTTGGAGAGGAACTTCCAAATCCTCTTTGTTGATATGCAGCTGCAGGCATTTGACATTGTGGGTAACCAGTTTGGAAAAGGTGAGTAGAATGATACTTTTCCACCCTTCCCAGATCTACATGTCAGCGTTCTGGTGGCCTGATGGATGTGATCTGCTAAATTGTACCCATATACATCTCACTGCTGTTTTTTCAGCCTTTTCTGAGTCATTTCCAGCACAGTGCTAATACCTATGGAGGACAGAAAAATATCTTTCCCCTCTGCATTCAGTACCTTCTGTTTCACCTTCTCATTGAAAACGTTCAACTTTGCAGCCACAATTTTCTTCTTCATCCATTTTCTCCTTGAACAAGCAAGAGATGTGTTCACCACCAGTGCACTGACCAAACCCCAGTGTGCAAAGTTCATTTCCAGGTCACTATTCTCAATATAACAAGATTTTAGCTATTTTTAAAGGCTCCCGATACTTACATCTTCCCACAGCTTTAGCAGCAAAACTGCCAGCTAATAAGGGATATTTGTGAATGCAAGATGATATTTTTAGAGCAGCTGTGTCTAGACATGATGAAATGTGCTCCTCCTGAGGAGGAGCACAACTGGCCCACTCCCAGCTTCTGAATTAAATATGATGCTCATCTCTTCAGTTTGTCTTTTCTTGGAAAAGTGCCACAAAGAGGCAATCAGGTATCTCAGTAAAAGACAAAGACCAGAGAGGGGGACTCAGTGGGACCTTGTGGTTTCTTTCAAGTTGTCCATCTTCTCATTTCTGTGGCTTCCTCTCAGGGCATTTCCATACAAGAACTCAGGTGCATGGAGGGGCTGACCACCTCTCCAGCCCTTCAGATGCAGCATAAAACATTGTCTCTTCTGCCACTTGTCTTTCTGGGTGCTTACAAAATATTGCTCCTGTGTTCTTATTTTTACTTTAGATCTGTCTTTTGACTCAGTTTGTCTGTTTGACCAATTCTTCTTCTGTTAGGTCACCATTTTTGCTACCTTTTCCATTCTAAAAGGAATATAATGAGAAACAACGTTTGGGGCTTTTTAAAGATAAGGCCCTTCTTTACACTGAGAATCCCATCTATGCTCTCATTCTCATGAAGTATTTTCCTGGGATAACACTGAGCTGGAAGAACTCATGGGATCCATCTGGTCCCCGCATTCCCATTCAAATGTGTACAATGAATGATCTTAGTTATGGGATTAGATATGGCCTCACCTCTAGGAGAGACTCAGCTGAGAAAGATGCTCTCTGTTTCTCCCTCCCTCTCTCCCTCTTAAGTCAAACTAATCTCTGCTAGTCAATACCATATACAAATTTAAATTAGTTTTGCTCCTGCTCAAAGAGCTGAGAAAGCAGCTCCCACCTCTGAAATAATTCCCCTGTGGCTATAAAAGTCATGAAACTGTTGTGTATTGGTTGTGCGTGCAGATTCTGAAAGAAAATCCCCACTGAAGGAATGACTAAACACATCACCAGCCTCCTCCGCTCAAGTGTCTCAAGACTGATAGTTTCACTTCTGTTGTTTCTGATTTGCTTATCTTTAAATGAGGAAGAAAAAGAAAACATTTATGGTCACTGGTTTCAAGTTCCTTACAATGTTGTACAGATTGCAGCAGTATTATATCAATAACTTGATCTGTTTTAGTCTGGAAATCTGTAAAAGGGCCTTCTGTACTTCAGTGTATCAGAAACAATTCCTGGAGTTCATGGAGTTCATTCCTTCATTCCCAATGTTTCATCAAAGCAAAATGGCCAATTCAAACATCTCTGGCTTTTACAGCAATTAGATGCAAATACCTTTCTGCTTATTTAACAGCAGGTTACATTAACCAGACAGAGCTTTTAAAAGGCAGCCTCTAATAGAATGCTCATGCCATTGGCTTTGTGGCATTGCATCACCATCTGGATTAGAGCAGAAGAGGATCAGGCTTTGGGAAGAGCCATGTGGAGGCTCTGGAGCTGTGACATGACGTCATGGATCCCACATGTTCCCTGGGATCATTGCCCACAGACAGTGTAAAATTCCCATGGGGGAAAAGCCCAAGCCAAGTGACAACCTGTGCCAGCACAGTCATGGAATAACAGTCCAGGTTTTTATCTCAGAGTGCTGTCGAGACCTGCCTTGGAACAGTCACAGGGAGTGAGAGGGACATGGGGTGTTGGATCTCCCTTGTATCCTGGCTATAAACTGGATTTTCTGCTGAGCTGGGATGTACTCTGGGGGTTAGCTGACCACGCTGCTCTGCTCAGAGAGCAGTTTGCTATGCAGGTGCCACTCACAGCAGCATGACAAAGGTCTGTCTTTCCCTGGAGCCCTAGGAAGGACCATTCCTGTAGATCTGATGGAAGATTTAGGTCTGATCCAGTTCTGAGATAATGCATTAGTGGTCATTCCCAGACACTGCCTCCACTTCCAGGACTACATTGTATTTTGAATTGGAGGCTGACCCTACCATTGTTACTGGGTAAATTTTCCATTTCTATCAGTGACTCACATGGTGCAGTCTCTCCACAGGAAAGCCACCAATTTACCTCAGTCTAGAAGTTCACTCTAAAGTACTAAGTTTCTGTTTAATCAGAGGATGCTTTGAATATTCATTTGGGTAGGAACTGGCTGAGGAAGCCAGGATTTGTCCTCTCTGTAGCTAAGAGGTGTGTTTGGAGTGGGATCTTTGGATGGTCCTTCAAAGATATGATTTATGGCTGATATCCTCATACATACAACTAAATTGCAAAGGTACTGCTAAAGCAACTCCCTGGACTATGTCCAAGGCTTCTGTCTTCCTAATCTCTGAATGTCCTGAGTTAGCCACCATTATCCACAAATATTCTGAATTAAACAGAGAGAACAATTAGAATTTGATTTTTCTAGAAAACACTGACTTAACAAGGATCCCTACTGCACTATCGATGTGCTGGACTGTCTCTGGCCTGATCCCCTTCACTGGGAAGAAGCAATCAGATATCACACAGGAGCAGTTTTTGACCCTGCAGGATGTCTTGCTCTTTATTTTCAGACTGGCACTTTGTATTGTGATGCTCCCCATCTGCTTTTGGGAAGAAAGCCCTTGCTGTGTGTGTGCTGAGTGGTGAAACAATTCCTGCAGATATGAGGGAGAAGAGCCACTCTCTAGGGAAGCAAAGAGCTACTGCAGAAGAGGCAAGGATGGTTTTCTTGAGATGAGGCTCAGCATAGATAAAAAAATGTAGTAAGTATAGCTCAGGAAAAAGAAAGAAAAAACAGAAGAAAGCAAGGTCTTGAGCACCTCTGGTTTGTATTTGCCAACTTTTCTGGAATATAGATGTACAGTATAGGAGTATGGTGTTCTGCTATAACATTCTCTGATCTCCTTTTCCTTTCAGAAGAAGAATGTTTTCCTGACAGAAATGGCAAAGTAGCTCCCATTGCAGTGTGCCTGAGTATCCTGGGATTGTTTGTCATTGTGTTTGCCACCTTCCTGATCTCCAGGAGGAAGCCACATAGAGGATATGAACGCATCTGAGGTGTCCTTGTGCTTCCAAATGTGTGCAGCAAGCAGGGAAGTCACAGGAGTTTTTGCTTCTGCCTGGCAATTTCCCTGCCCTGAAGCCATATTTTGAAGTGAGATGACACCATGTGTTTACAGCTAATGACTGTTAAGGAAGGAGTTTCTTTAAGGTGGGGAGGAGAGAACTCACACCTACCTTAGGCTTTCTTAGCATCTGATTTAGATGTAGTCCAAAATGAGGAGCCTAAATTCTCTCTGTTATCAACAAAGGAGGTCATTCAGATCACCTAAGCCAGATTCCTAAAAATAGTTTAAAGCAAGCAGTATCACTATTCCCCAGAAAATCCATCATGTTTGTTAATGATGGTGTTTAGATTTATCAAAAGATGTAACTTGGACCTTCAGGTGAATAAACCAGAGGCCCACAGCTACAGACAACCCTGCTAAGTGAGAGCTCACTGAAAGCTTTTTTAAGAACACGGTGTGTACCGAAATCTCAGGGGAAGTGTCAGTGTGACTCCACTCACAACTAAGTTCTCACCAGTCCTACAACACAGCTACATTTCCTAAGTGCCTGGGGTTCTCCCACTAAGCCCTTTACAAAGATACAGTGGTAATTGTGACTCTTACCCTGGAGCTTAATATGTTCCTGGTCTTGTGAGAGCTCAGGAATGCCCCCTGTGCTGTTCAGACATGAGCCTGTCACAGTGACCACACTGAGCCCAGGAAATGTCCTCTACTGAGGCAACAGGGTGGTCTCTTAATCCGGGAAGATGCCACACTCACTGGAAATGCCTGGGATTCAGTGACCACCACTGGGGCACCTGCACGAGGTCCATGAGAAATGGAAATCCACTGATGCTGTATGGTCAAGGCTTCTGTGGGAAATAAAAGCTTGCACAGGCCTTGGACAAACTCTGCTCAAAAGTAAGTGCTCCCCAGTGTGCTCACAGCTGAGCAGCTGGATTTTCATATGGAAATCATTTGGAGTTGCTTTAAAGCACACTGATACACTCTATGGTCTATTTCCTGTTAAACCAATGATGAAGGCATGAGAATAGTAATTGCTTTTGAAATTTAAGTCCAACTTGTGTTCTTTATTGTAACAAGGAAAAGCTCCTTGTCACAAAAGATTTACATGTGCAGAAATGTGCACATACACACACATACACATGTACATATGCTACACAATCTGCTCACTGAAGCAAATTACATCAAGATGATAAGAAATTATGTACAAACACATTTGCAAAAGAGAAAATAATAGTCAATAAAAGCACACTTCCTCCAAGGAGGTAGGCTAATGGATTAAATTTTGCTAATAAAAATTTAGCTTGGAAAAGGACTGTGGAATGGCACTCATTAAACAAAAGAAAGACTGAAGTCATATGCAAAAATGCCTTGACAGTTTAATCTGTATCTAAACAAAATGGAAATGCTGGGAGCAAATTTAATTTTGATGAATAATGGCCTGAATCCTGCACAGTTATTAATGGTGGTGGAACCTCACTGGATTTTCACTGAATAAAATTGATGGTTATGTCTTGTCAGATATTCCCTTAGGTATTTTTAAAATAGTTTTGATATTTTACTAGTATTTCACCATTGCAAGTTTACTTACTTAAATGAAGAAAGAAAATAAATTCTTCCATTCCATTAATTAATTAGACATGTTGGTCTGTGTGAAGCAGGAAGCATGGCCATATTGCTCTATAATCAGTATAATACATAGCTGTGGAAGTAATTAACATTCTCTAGAAATGTTCCCTTTGAGACTGAATGAACCAATAAATAAGAAGGATAAAGACAATTTTGAAGCACTTTACACTTGGAGAAATATCAGAACCAGCTGTGAGCACGGGAACAGCTGAATACATTTATAAGGTAAAATAGCACAAGAAATAGAATACCAGACTCTCAAGCCTTGAATACAGACACTGTGATTTGGACTGTATTCAGTTGAATACTCAAATTGGAATGTAAGTATTTCAATTATTCTTTTGCAAAGGGCTCCAGCACTGTTCATAATGCTTAGTGAGCTTTATCAAGCTCATTTTCCCTTCCTCCTTCTATCCTTAGCAGACAAGCAGCCATTGGACTGTTTTGGCCTAATAAGATCCCTCTAATTCTCAGGGTTACTTAATATTATGAACCTGTTGTTTAGAAAGCAAACTTTTTTACTCAATTAAAACATTCATCTTTTTTTAAAAAATGAGATGCCTATGAGGAAAGGTAAATGGATGAAGAGCTTCCATTTGGAAATGAGCCTGTGCCTGCAGTAGCAATGTCATTGTCCCAGTCTGCTATGTGTGGACACTTTAACAACAAAAACTGCCAAAAAAAGCTCAGCATGTGGTCTGGCCCTAAGCTGTTCTGTCCAGGGATCAATAGACATCTTTCCCTGGTCAAAGCTGAGTTCCATTTCACATGTTCTTTGGATTGCTGGATTGTGTGATCTATGTTATTTCTACTGACATGGATATAGCATTTGCTTGTTCTGTTCTGAAAATTGCTTTATGTTAATACTCAGTCTTTTTTAAAAGTCTGATATCAGCATGAGGACTGAAAAGAGTTACTAATGACTGCTAATTCTGTGGTTAATAGTCTGACACCTGGCATTTTTACTAGTGATGCACGAATATTGCTTTTCCCCATAGTTATTCTTCTTTCTACAGTGAATCAACCTGTTGGTATCGAACAATGTTTGGATTCAGATTTGCCTGATTTGTTCTTGTGCTTTTTCTTGCTATTTTTTGTTTGCTATTTTTATGAAGCTGCATTCTGCCATTTGTACATGAATGATACTCTGGGCTTACTCTAACTGGCACAAGCGAAGTGGTGCAAACCAATGAAACAATTGGATGGTCCCAGGAAATGCTGCCAACATGTAGCAAAATTAATCCAGTGGAGTTAGTGCTTTATAGCAGTAGAGTATCCATTGGAGAAATCCTTACTGCATCAGGAGATCCCAGCCTTGAAGTGCAGCCTTTCTCCCAGCTGTGGCTCCCTGGTGCTCTGCTGCAGCTCCCGTGCCAGACCATCCCCTGTGTCCCTGCATACCCAAGACAGAATGTGGGCATCCCAGAAGCACGGTGATGTCACACTCAGACAGGTCACTTAGGAGTTTAAAAAGTAAGGTTTAATTTCTTTCAGTCCTTTTTGTTATCTGATGGACAAGCACAAATTAAGAAACAGCTGTTAATTCTGTTGAAAGAGGAAGGGAGATTAGATTGGCATCTTGAGTATCTGAACATGGCTTGGCTGATCACTTCTAGCTTGCTATAATATATGACTGCTAAAAATAACTTGCTATGAGAAGTAAGAGATATACTCTTTATTTTTCTATTATTGGTCTTTCCTTAATAAAGGCTGTATTTAATCATTAGAGTGTGCATTGCTGTGTAATGATTTTATCTCTGAAATGGCTGAGTGAGTCTCACGTGTTGAGTTCTTCGTGAAGCAAAGGTTGTTAGATGGACTGCAGGAAAGCAGGAGACGTGGTAAACATGGGGGAGGAAAAAATCTCTCTGATGCCAGCAGCTGACTGAGGAACTTGGCTGTTGGAGAAGTGCCAGTGAGGGCAGAAGTGAGGCTGTAACTTCCCTCAGGGATAAAATACCAGAATTATGCTTCATTTCTGGTGTCAGTGCACATCCCTACATGATGGGTAATTTAATGTCATAAGATGAAAATGGCAAGCCTCTTGATTTGTCCTTCAGAAGAAAAGCAGAGCTGCCTGGAGAGCAGGGGCAGTTTGCTCTGCCCTTTGGCACCTGTTTGGCCTGGTATAATGTTAAATTTGGTGCCAGGTTTGCACCTATTTGGTGGGCAAGATTCTTTACTTGTTCATGTTTGAGAAGCTGGGCTGGCAAATACACACTTGTGTGTGTGAAGCAGGCCCTCTAAGGCTACTGGGGTTTCCAAATTCTTTCTTGACTAGGTTTACTGGCAGATGGAGGAATAGTCAACTATTTTATTAAAGGCAAAAAGTCCCCATCTATGAGTCACACCCTGGACTGTCCCAGAGGCACAAAGGTTTGGAATTTATTGAAGAAACCTTTGTATTAGAATATTCAGAAGAAAAAAAGGAGGTGTAGTTTTTAAGCATCAGTTTGAGCAAAATAACAAGTGTGAGAAGGGAAAGATTTCTATGGAGTTAACCCTTTGTGACTACAGTGACAAGACTTGGACACTACACTTTTTTCCTCACGTCCAGGGCTGTGGCCATTGCATGTCAACAAGGCAGGGGAATGTGGCTCTGAAGTTTATCTGCCACAGCAACGTAACACTGCTGGGCTTTCATCAGCATCTGGGCTTTCCCAGCTTGCCACAAAATGTCACAAAACATACATTTCTCTTTTTCTGTGAGTCTTATTGCCTATGGAATTGGTAGATCCCAAGTACTTTATTAATTATAAACTGATTCAGTTTCTTACTTAGCTTTTTTTTCCACAGAAGCTTGCATTTCCAACATGCAGAAACAAAATAAATGGCTGTTGGGAAAAAGGAAGGTGTTCAATCTGAGTCAAGATATCTGTGTTTATTAGAGACACAGATCTTGGTTTTGAACCTCAGTTTTACTGAGGCTTTCCTATATCACAAAAATGTTTGGAGACTATGAACCATAAGTCCAGCCAATGTTTAACCTGATTTTGCCATGGAATGACCTTTTTGTCATCAGGTGAAGGAAAATTAATTCATATTTTGAATTACATTTTTCACAACCTGCTCATGGAAAATATTGTTACGAGAAAACTACTCAAATTATTTATCACAGCAGCTTTCAAAATATGACCAGCTTCCACAATAAAATTAGAACAAAATGTTGCCAACCCAAGCTATCCACTACATCAGCAGGTTCACCTGGGTGCTTCTGAATATGGATGTGCACATCAAACATATTACTGGTGTCACTGAGGAAATTTTTATTTCTGCATTTAAGCTTTATTACACTGCACTATCAAACATCTGCGTGTACAGTCTGGTGATCCTGCTTGACTTTTCAAGCCCTAAAAGCCCTGCTGGCAGAATGCCTCCACCCAGAACAGATTTGCAATATAAATGAGTTTGCCACTTCCATTAGTTCTATTGCTAAAAGCATCAACTCCTCTGCCACCTCTAATTTATGTACTGTAAAATATCTGTAGCTCTCCCCAATGTCCAGCAGTTAAACTACATAAAATGCTGCCATCTTGTGTTTAGAGACAAATTAAACACAACATTTCAAAAATCAAGGTTATGAAAGGCAAAATTTGGATCTACACCGTCAGCATCTTATATTGAAGAAGAGTGGAGTGAATTGATTATGGAAAAGCAGAAGCTTCACTTAGTAATTTAGTTTTTAAAATCTTATCGTTAGAGCAAGTGCTGATCCCTCTTGCAGTCAGTCCAAGGGATGATTTCCCCAAGCTGATCTGGTGTCTGTTTAACCTACTTGAACCATCCAGCCACTGGTGTGAGGGGTCACCGCGGCAAAATAAAAATAGCAACAGTGCAGCAAGCAGAGATTGCCCGCACACCGAAGATGCTCTTCATGTAAGAAACGGTTACTGCTTCAGAGCATGGAGAACACTTCAGACATTAAACACTGCCACAATTGCATTTGATAGCTTGTATATTCCTGTTGTTAAAAAGCAGGGCTGCTTTGCTATTTGTAAACAACAACTGGAAATACTTATTTTGACCGTGCTGGGACTGGGCAGGTTTAACAAGGCCCCGCACTGGGGTGGGCCGGGCTTTAAACTGAAGGATATTGGGAAGAAATTTTTCTCTGTGAGGGTGGGGAGGCCCTGGCACAGGCTGCCCAGAGCAGCTGTGGCTGCCCCATCCCTGCGAGTATCCAAGGCCAGGTTGGATGGGGTTAGCAGCAACCTGGGCTAGTGGAAGGTACGCCTGCTGAAGGGAGAATATCATAACGTGATGAGCTTTAAGCTCCCTTTCAACCCAAATCTTCTCCGGCTCAGTGACCTGCAAAGGTCCAAAGCCTGAGGGAGCCGAATGGATCCTGATGGTTTCCTGACCCCACCGCTGTGTGGACTCCTCCGCCTGCACGAGGCGCTGGTGGTGCAGGACCTGGGGACGTTGTGTTACCCGAGGATGCCCGCACCCTTCCCAGCAACCCTCCCGCTTGTGTGTCGCCCTCCTATTAAATCCCCGATGTCATTCCTGAAGCTGAGTCCATGCACCCACAGTACCGACAACCCCTCAGCGACACGCACCGTTTCACATTTAAACGAAATATATTCCCCCTGCCCTGCCAGCCCCGCCCCCGACAGCCATTTCCCGCTGTCCCGGAGCAGGCCCCGCCGCGCCCCGCTCTCCTCCCCGTGACGCGCTCCCTCCGCCCCCTCAGGGCTTTCCCCCCTCCCGCCGCGCTCCCCAACATGGCGCTGGCGGCGGCCGAGCGGGGCCGCGGCTGCCTCGGGGCTCTGCGCCGGCTGTGAGTGCGGGCCGGGGGAGGCCTGAGCGGCCCCGAGGCGGGCAGGGGCGGCCGGGCCGGGGCAGCCGAGGGTGCGGGCCGGGGGCGGCCTGAGGAGCCGGGGGGAGCTGCCCATAGCGAGCACGGAGCCCGCTGCCCGGGCAGGAGGGGCAGGGGCTGTGCGGGCCGTGAGGGGGCACACGGCAAGGCCGGGCTGCTCTGTGCCAAGGGAGAGCAAATAAACCCTCCTGGGCTGCAGGGAATCGCTGCAGCCGCTGTCGCGGCCCCGGGGGTCGGTCCGCAGGGCCGGTGACTGTCACAGCTGTGTCTTCAGTGCTTAGGACATGCACCAGTTCCTCCTCCCGTTGTTATAACCGAGCTCTGCTTGTGTGGTGCCGAGGACGTCCCCTGTCTTTTTGTCCGATAACGCTTAAAGAATGCTGGGCTTGATCCAAAATTCCGACCTTGTTTTACATACTAATTAAAACAGCTCCAGGAATTTGCTTTCACGATTCTATCCAGTCACTTCCCTGCCTTTATCTCATTTAGTTGGCATTAATCATTTGAAGTTTAACTTTCCATTTCTAAAAGTCTCCATAGCTCACTCTTGCTCTTACTTTTCTCTCCCACCTTTGCTCTACAAAAGCAGCCCATGTTGCTTTTTTAAGTTTTTTATTTCATGGTTGCTCACTTCTCCTTTCCCAAATACTTCGAGTTTGCCTCTCTGTAGTAAATAAGTGTGAATTGTTGGCTGTTCTCTCCACCAAAAATAATTTTTTTTTTTGCTTGTTTAAGAAAACACCTTGATTATTTCTGTTTCAATGCTACTAAAACAGCAAGGGGCTAATTTTTATTGTGTCTAAATGAAAGTACATAGTGAGAGATCTGGTGAAGTTTGGGAGACTTCCCTCGTTATATCTGAATCTGTTTTGTGTAAATAGATGTACCAGAAGTTTCAGTGCTGTCCTCTCACCTGAAAATAAAAGTAGCTCGGTTGCCACCTCTTCATATGCACTTGTAACACTTCTGTCCTTTTATAATTGCACAGGCAATGGAACCAAGTGCGAATATTTGTGAAATGGGCCTCGACGATAGGTATGAAATTTAATTTCTTTAGCTACTACCTTTAATTGCTATGCAGTGTGGATATGGTTTTAAAGTATTAGTTGCTGAAAGACTGGAGGGTTTTTAAATAAATATTCAGTATCTTCACAGTTTTTGAAAACAGAACCTGTAGCTAACCTAAGAGAAATCATCTTTAATGTTTAAATAATTTGTATAACTTTATCTATCACATTTAGGTATATGGAAATAAATAAAAACTGTTTAATTTTTGTCATGTTTTCCTCTGAGTCTTTTTCTGATACATTTGTTGCAAAGTCTGTGAGAATTGTTTTGTAGGCATAATGGTATTGAAACAATATGTGAAGGAGAGTAAAGGGGTTCAGCAAGATGATTTAAACTCACTCTGTGGTCATGTTATCTAAAAAGTTATGTTTGAGAATTCAGAGATCCATTTTCATTTCATTATTTAGTTTTAAGCTATTTAATCCTCACTGAGAAGTCTCTGTCGGTGCTGGCCTTACAATTCTATCCAGTTGTGACTGCTGGCATGACAGTTTCCAGAAGTTTGTAAGTCACTGCTTAAAAAAACCAAAAGTTGACACCTTTTTTATGCCTTTGTCACTGTGTAGCAAAGGGGAACGGTGCTCTTAATGTGTGAATCACTTCGGTTGTGAGGGACACAACACAGCTTTGATTGTCTCCTAGTTAGTCCAGAAGGTACACAGCCCAGCTATAAGCATCAGCTGTAAAACAGAAGTGGTTTTTTTTAGGGTTAGGATATATTTCTTAAATTCTAAAAAAGAAAAACAAATGGCTTAAGCATACTTCTGCATAAGGACTGTGAGTTAAAAATTCTTCGAGCAGCTTGGAAATGCTTTTGAGTGAAGCATGCTTTTTTCATT